CATTAAGACGCTTGGTGTGTACCCTCATCATTTTTTTTTTAACTTAAGAATGAACAGTATGTTTATTAAAGACTGCATTAACAGCCGGCTGCTCTTGTGAGTTCTGCTAGACAATTTGGGGCTGTTTGGAAGTGCCTTCCGTTTAGGGAAAATTTGGATTTTTTATTTAAAATTATTTTTTTTTACATAATGTTTAGAATAATTTTAAAAAATAAAAAAAATTATGGAAATGTATTTTTACTTACTTTAAAAACCATCCACTTGATTAATGGGCATTAGCTGTTTAACACCACATGGTAAAAACTTCGGGTTCCTTTCCTACCCTTTTCCTCACTGGTTCTATAAAGTCTCTGGGTGGGTGCATCTGTGCAAGTGCCTTGTAAAATTGCCTTATTCAGTAGTATTTGTAATTTTATGTAGAGCTGCTATCATTCTTTGAAATCATAGTTATTACGTCATTGAGTTAACTCGTGTGTTATAGGATCAATCATTTTACTTCATTTTTTTTTCTTTAAAAGAACAAAATTTCTTGTATTGACCTCAGTATATTTAGATAAGAATTTATCAGTACAATTGGCTAATTAAGAATCTAGTTGAGTGAAATGGTTTTTTTTATCATATTAATGTTTTTTTCTAGTTGAATTTTAAATATAATCTAAATTAGACTCTAGATTATGAGTTTCATGTATTAACTCACCATCAAATTTAACAACTTTGCTATATTTTGTAATAACATACATATATATATATAATTAATATATTTTGAAGTAAAATATATTTTTAAAACATATTAAAAAAAACAAACAATATTATATCACAAACAGATATTCCTATTGCATCTTAAACTCCAAGTTTCCAACAACGAGTACCCCCGACTAAACAATATCTACATTCAATTAGAACTTGTGGTATAATTACCTGACAGCGAAATAAAAAAGAAGCAGGAACCCCCCTGGATCTAGGAAATTTCTATTAGGCCTGCAGACTGAGGCTGTAACGAGCTTTGGATCTACACTGAAGAATTTCGTGGGAAATGGGTTGATGTCAGAGGGATGTACTTGGGAAAAGTAGGAACCAACTAAGAAATTTATGTGCTGGTCCCGACTATGTTGTTGACACTGGACAGAGAGACTTCAACCACCAATCAAATTATTCTTATTGACTTTTTGAGCGGTTTTGCAGTCAAAGTTCAGAAACCTGGGCTATTAGAATAGGGCAAGTGTTTATTTTTGTATTTTTAAAAAAATTAAATTAATTTTTTTAATTGACTCCACAGGAGAGAAACTCTCGAAAAAAATAAGGACCGTGCCACCACCGGTGGCTGCCACTAGAGCAGCGTGATTAGAATGATTTTGTACGGGACCCAGTTGTGACATCAGCTGTTTTTGTGTTTTTCCTTCCAATCATAGCTCAAGACTAGGCTTTTTATGCCGGTTCAACTCTCCTCCTTGTATCCCTTTCACAACCTCATGTAAATAATGTTTCTAAAAAAAATATTTTTTTATATATTTATTTTTAATTTATTAATCTAAAAATAATTTTTTAAAAAATAAAAAATATCATTTAAATATATTTCAACACAAAAATTATTTTAAAAAATAATTATAACCGTATCCATATTTCTTAAACATGCATTTAAAATTTAACTCATATTACTGGTTTTTATTTATTTAACCAAGCTGATTTTAATGTTAATATTTTTTATGCTAATTTAAAATATATTTAAAATTATAGATGTAATTATTTTTTAAAAATTATTTTGATATTAGCATATCAAAATAATCTAAAAATATTTAAAAAATTAATTTAAAAAAACAAAAAAATTAAAATTGTTTCAAAAACGTTTTTAGAACTCAAAAATAAAAATAATAACCTCAAGTGCACTATGTTCTCTTAAAATTAAATTTTTTTAATTTAAAATAAAAATTATTTTTATGATTTTAGATTATTTTAATGTATTAATATCAAAAATAATTTTTTAAAAATTAAAATGTTTATTTTAATACTGCCTCACTTGCTATTTTTCTTTTTATTTTTCTTTTTTACTGCACCTTTGTAAAGTTTGCATATAAAGTGTTTTTAAGACTTATCGAAGAAGATACTGTTTACATTGCTTTAGCCCTCAGAGTATAAAAGGTGGTATTCCTGGGAAAGCTTTATGCCACGCCACTTCCCTTGAATATCAAATTTTTTTATAGAACTCCTCGTAATCATGCATGCTTACTCCACTGTATTCTTTCAAATGTAGATTTTCCAGCAAATGGCTGAATAATCCGTTGATGTGAACGCAAAAACTGTTTACATCGTTGATGCAGATCATATTTAATATTTTAATAATAATTATTTTTTAAACACTTGTAAATATATAAAAATAATATTTTTTTCTTGAAAGTTTTGCAAGTGTGTTCGGATGAATATTAAATTTGTTATTTTTTTTAATGAAAACTAAAGAACTATTTTAAAAGAAAAAAAACTGCTATAAAAAATTAATTAATTGCATCAATTCAATTCTTTCCATTGACATCGATACCAAACATGTAAATTCATAACATAGTTAAGTAAACAAACTTACTAATATAATTCATTTCGACTTAAGTCTTTGAATATAGCCAAATCCAAAGTTGATGAGAGTGAAAGTACCTTGATTATTTTTTTGCTTTGCAACCCTAGGAGGCACACAAGATGATCCTAGATAGTTTATTTTTAAAAAATAAATTTGTGAAAAGTAAATTATTTTTTATTATTTAATAATATCATGAAAAATAAGTTGAAAAATATTTTTCAATATTTAATTATGTAAAGGAAAACAAAATGAAAAATAACTTATTAATATTTTATTTTTTTTAAGTTTATTAAAAAAATAAGGGATAAATCTTACATATAAAAATATTGAAGGTTGATAAAATTAAAAAAAATTATTTTAAATAAAATAAATACTAATCAAAATAATAAGAACCAAATATGATAAATAAAAGAGTTCAATTAAGAAAACAAATAAAAGAAAAGCAAATAATAAAAAAATAAAATAAAATTGATATATAAATCAAATTAAATC